CGTCATCAAACATATCACAAATGAGTGGTCTCACGGGGATGACAGGTTCCAACGCTTCTTTGACGGTGTGAGTTGCGTCCGCCTATCCAACGTTAGTATAACACCAACAAAAGATTCCCCCACCTTACACCGACTGAATGGCATCAAATCTCTTGTAGACCTTGGGTTGAAGATATTGTGTAAAGTGAGACCTCTGAACTGTTCTCGGTAATAAGCGGTGATGGCCTGATATCTGTATCTGTCGAACGTGGGAGGTGCGATGATGGGGACTTGAGATGGGGAGGGGTCTTTTTCTATAGGATCTTTAAGAGAAGATTTGGGAGGGGTTTACCTTCCAAAAGAGTTTCTTGATGGAAGTTAAGGACATTGCTGAAAGACGGATGGATGTTGAGAGACGGTGAGGATGCGATGAGACTTGCGATTCCAGCGTTGGACCTCTTTTTTCAAAAACAACTTGAATCCACAGTGCACATAACAGAATTGTTGTTTTTGGAATCCACAGTGCAACAGAATTGTTTGTTTTTTTTTTTTTTTGGCGAAGTCTCAAACACGCACAAATTGGCCCGTCTATTTTGGCCCGAGTTCACGACATGACGGACTCGATGGGGTATAGTGGTAGATGCTTTCAAGAGAGGCAGATAATTGAGCAACCAAGGGCTTGCTGCCCTGAAATCAATAAACGATTTTCAATTGATTTTATAATACAAGCGCGTACTATACGCGTTTAAATTTATGAATGGCGTCATTTCGCGACACTCTTCACCTGCGCCGCCTCCTTTGACGCATTCGTAGCCCGAGTAAGCCATAACAATGCCATAGTTTCATCCGCATCCACACCGATCCCATGCAAAAGTGCCGTCCCATAATTAAACATGGCCACAGCATCTCCAAGCGTCGCCGCGCTTTAAATTGGCTAATAAAACAAAATTAATATACGTAAAACTTCAAAGACTCACCTGAACAGCCGCCGCTTCATTCTTCACAACCCCCCGGCCTTCCCTAACATTTCACCCACCAGATTGAACAACCAGCGTGATCTCGGGTTGCGCCCTTTTTTGGCCCATTCAAGGGATTTCAGGTCATCTTGTTTGACGACGATTTCTTTTTTTGCGTTTCAGAGGTGCAAGGGAGGTTGGGGGGATGAGGTGTCGGAAGGGAGAGTTGTTGATTCGTTTCCGACCGAATGGTGTGGTTCGGTATGGCTGAGGCGTTTAGGTTCAAGGATACCGGATGGGGTGACAGTCTCGGTGGAATCTGATGATGCTTGGTCTATAAGACTGAGAGCACTCAGTCGTTTATCAGCCTCGCTCATGGTATTGAGAGACGGCACCGCATTCAAATCTCCTCAACAACAACCAAAGGCGCAATCCCCACATTCTCCAAATCAATCAACCCCTTCCCATCTTTCACATTCCCAGCCTTTGACACCCTCTTCCCAACCTCCTCCTCAACCTCCACCCCCTTCGCATAAGCCACCGCCATCTCATAAGCCGCCTCCGCATTCCCTCCAACATCCCAACTTTTCGTAAACCACGCCACAGCCTGCCACAAATCCTGCACCCCACCTTTCCCCACAACACCCTCCTTCAACATCCTCCCAAGTCGAACCATGGATCGATGGTTCCCCGCTTCCGATGCGCGTCGATGCCACCCTGCAGCGTCTTCATGGGGTTCCAGACGACACCCCATCACGTACATGGCGGCTGGATCTTTTAATGGACTGATGGTTGGGGAGAGGTAGGTTTTGGATGCGGGGTGGGTGGGGGAGATGTCGAGGAGGATGTCGATGCCTTTGTCGTAGGTACCCCAGGCTATGTGGGAAAGAGCAGTCTTGTATTGGGCGTCGAGGGTGGGTGGTGACGCTGCGGAAGTGGATGCGAAGGAGGGGAAGGAGATGGAGGCGCGCGGTGTGGATGGTGAATCGGATGTGGTGGGTAAAGGATTGTTCGGATCCAAAAAAGGATGTGACAGAAAGTCGTTTTCCAGCTTCTTCCGCTCGTTGTCTCCATTTTCGCGCTTGGATTTTCAACAAGTTCGCTTCACTCTGCTCCTTACTCTCTTCACCTCACCGTCTTCACCTTCACCTAATCCACTTCCTCACGAATCCTTCAAACCTCCTTCAATAAACGCCGCCTTCTTCTCCATTCGTTCCGCTAAATGCAACATCCCCGAAGGATTCTTCATCGGCGACCTCTCCGCATCCAAATAAACCATCGCCAACCCATGTCCCTGTTCCGCCAACTTCTCCAACCCCATAAACGCCTTCCCCCAAACCCCCCACTCCAAATTCCCCAAACACTCCCTAAACTCTTTCTCCACCATCCCCGCCTTTTTCCGTTCCACCACTTGCGGTATAACACTTGCAATCGTCTCCTCAAGTTCCGGTGGAATCGTCAACGGAACAGAGAGGAGGAGAGAAGACCCCGTTGAGGATGTTGGTAGGTTGAGGGGTGTGGGATTGCTGCGCTTTTACTTGCTCGTGCCATGGCGGAGGGTGTACCATGCAAAGGAGGCATGGGGTCGTCTTTACGGGTTTCTGCCGAAATGGGCGCACATGTAAAGCATGCCGGTTGGGTTTTTTGAGGGAGGTTGTGGAGGGATCGAGGTAGGAGTTGGAGGGAGCGTGGTTTTGGGAGGCGAGACGGTCAAGCATTTTAATGGCTTTTAACCCATGATCCCCATTCGAGGAGTCGAAGCGCTTCCTTGTAGTCTTTTGCGAGTGGATCGGGTCCTCGGAGGAGTGGAGATGCGTTTGGGAGTGTTGGTGTGGTTGGTGTGTTGGGGTTTTGATGATCAGAAGTAGAGGCTTCATCTGAAGTTTCCTTTGATGCAGCGGCATCCATAGCAAGCAACGCTTCGATTTTCGTCTTCTGCGCTTCCTTTTCCCTTTCAAAGATCTTTTGCCTCCAAACACTCGCAACTCTGCATTCCTCTCACCCCAATACCCTGTTCATAACCCTCCGCCAGCGCCATTTCCGAAAGCGCATAACCCGCTTCAGCAGCCGACTCGAACCACGTCATGGCTTCATCGCCTTCACCGACTTTCCGAAGATAAACGCCGAGTTGATGCATGCTTTCAGGGTTACCGGCTGTAGCGGCTTTGGCGGAACCATACGATAGCTTCAATGTGATCACCGGCTGCTCTAAGGGTGTGGCGTGAGCGCACATGCCTTCAGGATCGTTGAGGAGATGGGTGCGTTGAGATTCCCATTTGGTTTTGGTGGTGGCGTCGTTGAGTTTGTCGGTGTCGTAACAGAGGGCGAGGTACTGTGAACGAGAAGGGGTTAAGGCTGGTATGGGAGAATGAGGTTACCTTCATGGCTTCCGCATGACCATGTTGGGATGCTCGAGTGAGATAGAGAGTTGCTTTTGTATAGTTGCCAGCTTCGTATAGGGATCGACCTGCGGTATAGTCGTCTTCGGGACTTTGGGAGGCATCAATGTCGTCGGTGGATGGCTGCAAATATGGTTGCCTTACACCGTTGATGATGGAAGTGACAGCACTCCACATTTGTCAAGTCTCCGAGTCTCTTGAGATGTGATGATGATGATGATGATGATGGTGGTGATGATGACGGAGAGGCAAGGTTTCAAGTTGCTGGTTGGTCCTTGGGTTGATCCATATTTTTCACATTTTTTTGCCCCTTAATTATTATCAGCCTCGATCGTTCTCGATCATTTTGACTTGGATACAAAGTTGTCACTCCTCTCTATCTGGTTGAAGAATGAGATGGGTGAAAGGTGTCAAACCTTTGGTCACATTGGGCGTGCGGCCTTTGCAGCGAGGGGCAAGATATCGGTTTTTCATGATTCTAGACTCTGAATAAGCCGCGTTGTGTGCTAGGGAGAGGCCTGTGCGGAGCGCCGTGGAGTTGGAAACGTCCACATTTTTAAGGGGGGATCACGATGGTGAGTTGGAACCCATTGTCCATCATCGGTCTCAAGATCAATTTATAGACTGGGAATACTGCGCCATTCGAGACAGCTTTCCCATAAAGCCGAGGTGAACTAGCTCTGTAAGTTTCGGGACCAAGCGTGCTTGGACATGTTGTTGGGATTGAAGCCGGGTAAGGGTGAACAGGAATCCTAGGTAACCGAAAAGGCTCTTTTGGGAAGAGGTTGTTGTGTGGTAAGGCGAGTAAGTGCAATTAGTACGAAATGGGTGAGGGTGATCGCAATTGTTTTTGGGTACGAATGGAGGTGTGTTGCAAGTGCGGTTTGTGCAAGATGGGAAGGGTTGATCGAGCATGTGCTCATACATTCGTGCAATTCGGTCGGATCCTTTTTGGTTGGGAACGCGTGCCCATTCCTTAGAGCTGATGTGGCTGACAGTGTCAGCAGTAGAGACGGCGAAACAGGATCTCGTTGATCGTAAACTGGGTAGGATTTGGAAGGAGATGGATGGCAGAGCCTTCTTGACCACGAATATTAAGACCTAGCTCTCACGACGTGAAAAGGTTTCGGAAGGGTCTATGGTGCATGCAAGCGGAGGTTGAGGGTACCCAACCCATTCGGTGCAGAAATCGCGAGTCGAAGGGATCAGGATGAGGTTGAGATTTGGCCTCGCGTCAAGGGATTCTCCTCAAGTGATCACAACAATTTTCGTGGGTACGAATCTGAAGCGGTGGCTGATATCCTCATGAAGGAGTTAGCATTCGCATAGCTGTCCTATTGACTGGGCTATTATGACGATATCATCAAACATATAGCTCCATCAAATAGGGCCAAAGCGACGTTTTTGTAATCTTGTCGATAAAGTGACTAAAACAGGAAAGGCGAAGTAACGACCATTGGATGAGCGCGATTCTGTCGTGACCATGGCCATACATTTTGTCGAACATGGCCTAGAGTTACAGTCGATCATATCATTTAGCAGCTCGATGCAAGGATTGATGTAAGCATTGAACCTCAAAAACTTTTCAGCCAATCAAGACTCGCAATTTTACCAATACTTTTTTTGGTATATGTAGTACTATTTTGGTGAAAATTCATGAATTGGCGCCGCTCTAGTATAGTGGTTATTACTTCTCGTTGTGGCCGAGAGAAACCCTGGTTCGATTCCAGGGGGCGGCAGGAACGCGCCTGACTTTTTACTCTTTTGTTGCATATTAAAATAAATGTTCACTTTCACTGTATATTATATTTATATTATTTAATACTCCATACACTTATGTTGTTGCTATTTTTGTTACCTACAAATAATAAATAAATATTTATAAACACCACAAGAAGTCCATAACGCTGTCACATTGAGAACTTGCTTGTTTTTTTGGAAATATGCTCTCTAATCTCTCTTTGCTGATAAAGAAACAATATTTGATCAGAAAGCGGGATTTCGCATGACAGTGATGGCCATAAAAGGTGCTACAACTGGCGCATGCTGGTTGCACGTTCTTCATTTCAGGAAGGTTTTTTTTTTTTTCATTTCCACAACCAGGAACTCAGAGCACCTTCGCTGTCATCAAAGGAGACCATTCTAAATCAGCCTTCAATAGATAGAATTATAGAAGACCTGGAACTTAGGAATATGCCTTCATCGCCTACTATCCTACTTGCGGCTATTACTGCTGCTGCTATATTCACCGTGGATGCTGCTCCTCTCATCAGGCCTCGCAGCACGGCCAAGGTCTGCACGTCAACCCCTAAAATGACAAGAGTTGGTGGATACGAAAGCGGGCTCTTTGGTGTCGGCGCTTCTGAGATCATCTCGTACGATAAAAACCGTCAGCATGTCCTCGTCACCAACGCCGAGAACAAGACCATCGACGTGAGTTACATGCCACCCATGCATCATGTTGCAATCGCTGATTGTTTTCCATTCCCTCCAGATAATCGACATCTCTGTCCCATCCAACGTCGTCAAGGTCGGCAACTTTAGCGCCAACTTTGCCAAAGGTCCCAACTCAATCAACTCTGTCGACGTCTTTGGCGACCTTGCTGCCCGTCGCTGTTGAGGGTGTGCTCAAGACTGACCCTGGATACATTGAGTTCTGGAGCCTTGAAGGAACCCCCAAATTTGTAAAATCCGTTCAGGTCTGCTCGCAGCCTGACAGTGTCGTCTTCTCTCCCGATGGAAAGTAAGTAGATGATCATGACTCTGCTTACCTTTGCTTCGCTCTACTTTAATACCCTTTTTACTTACGAATTTTGTTTTGTAACTTTTAAGCTGGGTTCTTGCTCCCTGCGAGGGTGAGCCTATGATGATTACTCAGTCGACCCCGAGGGTGGCATCGCGATCATCGGACATATCTAAGGGTGTTGACAATGCTGTGAGTTACTTTATATTGCCTATGTTATTGAAATTTATCATTGCTAAACTTGCTATCCGAATAGTCCTTCAAAGTTGCCGACTTCAAAAAATTCAACGGTGCCAACAAGCCAGTCGGCCTTCGTATCTCTTCCAAGCCCACCACCGTCGCTCAGGACATTGAGCCCGAGTATATTGCTATTTCCTCCGACTCCAAGACTGCCTGGGTTTCCCTTCAGGAGAACAACGGACTTGCCATTGTCGATATCGCAAGCGCTACTGTTGATAAGATTTTCCCTCTTGGTCTGAAAGACCACTCTCTCCCAGGTAACGGTCTCGATGTCTCTGACAGGGATGGAAAGATTGATATTAAGCCCTGGAAGCACGTTGTTGGCATGTACATGGTGCGTTTTAATTGTTGTTTTCGCCCATGCTTCTCTTTGTTCTCCTTTCTTATATACTTTTTATTAGCCCGACACTATTGCCTACTATGAGGAAAGGGCGAATGTAACAAGACCATCGGCCAATACATCTTCACCGCGAACGAGGGTGACGGCCGTGGTTGGAAGGCATTTAACGACGAGTCCCGCGTCAGTGCGCTGAAGCTCAACACCACCCTCTTCACCCCTGAAGAGATCAAGGGTCTCGCTCGTCTTACAGTCTCCAACGACGACGGTTTCGACTTGGTTAACGGCACCAAGATCTTCCACACTCTCCACGCCTATGGTGGTCGTTCCTTCAGTATCTGGGGACGCCCTTACCGGCGCTCAGTTTTTGACTCTGCCGATCAGATTGAGAACGTGACTGCTACTGCGGAACCGCTCCACTTCAACTCTGGTCACGATGAGGCCAAGAGCTTTGACACGAGATCTGACAACAAGGGACCCGAGGTGGAGGTTCTTAAGGTTGGAAAAATCGGGAAGACGCCGCTTGTTTTCGTCGGTCTCGAAAGACAGTCTGGGATCTTGATGTATGATATCTCTGATATCACCAAGCCTGTCCTTCTTCAGTACCTTAACCTCAGGAAGTGGGATGCTGAAATCAAGAAGCAGGGTGACCTCGGACCTGAGGGGATGGACTTTGTTTATGAGAGTGAGAGCCCGACGGGTAACCCGCTTTTGCTGGTCGGAAACGAGGTTTCTGGATCCACCGCCGTCTACGAGATCACTTGTTAAAATGTTATTTTTACTTTCTTTACTCTTCGCATCCTTTGGGTTTTTACCATCTCTATCTTTCTCGTTCCCAGTCGTTTCAATTTCATCCCAGTCCCCATTCCATCCCCTTTTTACCGTTTGAGGTCTCTCGTCTGGACGTGAGGACTTAAGTTTAAAATTATGGCTAATTGCCATGGTAGAAAATAGATATCGTTTATTGTCGGAACATGACATTTTTTGCAGAGCTGAAATAGGAAAGAGAACGTGTCTTTACTGTGCCAAAGTCATGAGCACCTTGACTTTTACTATTTTTTGGACTGATCCCATCATTAATTTCTGGAGTCAGCCCCACCATCCAACTTGGCGCTTCGTTTGTCTCCACCTCATCTACAAAGGCATCATCAGCGTATCCTAAACCTCACTTCCTTCACTCATCAAATGTTGTCACCGTCATCCATCACCTCTGCTGCTGCATTGCTCTTCGCGATCGCAGGCACTGTCCTGCCGCAGGGAACGAATGCTCAGTTTGTATTGTCTTCGCCATTGGCTAGAGGATTAACAGGGATGCGTTGACCACGGGGCCGTGTGGTAACAACAACGAGTTCGTAAACCCTGTTAACTTGCCAAAAGGTTTGCTCTCCTCATTCTCTCGCCATTCTCCTTAGCCTTACTTCAAAGTCGTTAACTTCAAATTCATTATCTCATCCACATCATGTCGTATACCACGCATATGTTGATCCTTCAATGCAACAGCGACGACCATTACCATCTCGAGCTACGTAGAGTTCGGCAGCTACACCGTCAGCATTGGGTACCCCTCTGGTATTCGTGATTTACAATATATCCCATTGGTCACCGACGTCATCCCGGATTCATTACTTCCTCGTAATCTTCCCTTCAACCTTACTTCCCAAATCAACCTCGATAATGGCCCTCCCGGAACTATGAGTACTCCAGACATTCCGGCAATCATCCAGGTTGTTTTGGAATCGGACGGAAAGCGATACTACCAGGTTTATTGTCGTTTTCGGCTTCTGTTTTGATCCTATTGATTTGGGGATCTCTTTCTAACCTAGATTTTTATCCATAGTGTGCCGATGTGATTGTGGAAAGCAGCACCTCTCTTCCACCAAGGAATGACGCCGGTCTTCAGTCCATCCCCAACCTCCAACCCACTGATTCCACGTCCGTTCCATTTCCTTCCGGACCTTCTATTACCATCCCTTCCGAATCTGACTCTGTTTCTTCCACCAGTATTCCAGCTACAAGGCCCGCCACCACCACCGCAACTGCCGCCTTGTCAACCAGAACTTCTTCCCCGACAACCTCTGCTCCGGGGGCCACCACAACTACTTCCAAGTCCTCCGCGAGTGATCTGTTATCCGTGGGATCGTTGTGCAAGGCAGTTGTGGCTGGTGCTATGGTTGCTGCGGTTGGAGCCTTTTAAGTTGCTTGACACGTACTTTTCGATATCATTCATACCTTATTCTTTACCTCATTCTGACTTTCGCGGATACATCTTAACAACTTTAGCCTCTTTTCCATTTTCCGCATTATTCTGCTAATGAGATTTTGGATAAAGACGTTTTTGTTGATTATTCGTTTTTCTGTTGCGAAGACCTCTTTCCCAACTCACCTTTGCTCGCAGTCAGGGAAATTGTCATATTTTCTATGTATCACCCTTTTAAAAATATATGAAAAAATTGATTTTCCGGCCAGCCTTAAGGATCCGACCAGGTGAGCCACTTTTGCATCAACTTGTTTGCACATCCTACAAACAGCCAGCCACCATCCACTGTCACAACGACAACAAAGATATCCACCACTTCTTACCATCTCACTCGTCATCCTTCCTTCAATGATGTTTTTCGATCCATCAATGTCCTCGTCTCCTCGGCATCGACCGTTGCTGTCCTTGCACTCGGAATGCTTTTACCATCCGTTAACGCGGACTTCGTCCTCTCCTCTCCTTTAACAAGAGGATTCAGTGCCAGCCGTCTATCTCAAGCACCATGCGGAGGCTTCAACGATTTTGTGAATCTCGTCAACTTTCCTATCAGTTAAGCTCCTATTCCACGCCGTCATCTTTGTACTTTCACTGTTACTTTCGTCCACTCTAACCTTTTTTTATGTGAGCAGGAACGGAGGTCATGATAACGGCATTGAGTATACGGGACAATACACTGTCAACATTGCATACCCCACAGGGTTTAGGGACGCGGAGTTTTACACTATTGGTCGGGGTGCTGTTCCTCAATTCTTTGCTCCTGTTCCGCTGCCCATCAACATGACGACGGCCATTGATTTGACAAAAGAGCCGTTGGATGTTATTCGGTCACCGAACGTTCAGGGCGCTGATTCAGGTCGTGTTTGAGGGTGCGAGCGGGAGGAAATACTACCAGGTAAGATATTTGATATCGTAATTTTTTTTCTTAACGTTAAACTCTGTGTATATTTTCTAGTGCGCGGATGTAATGATTGCAAGCACCTACCAACTTCCTCCTCGCAACGGACCCTGGTTTACGTACCATCCCTAATCTTCAGGCAAACCCCTCAACCTTGCCGTCAAATGGCATGCCAGCTTCCAATGCCTCCGAGGTATCACCGTCCATCCCTATCCTTCCTACCACCACAGGTGTCGCGACAGGCACCACTACCTTTCCTGCAACAGG